ATTATACATATATTAAAATAAAAGGACCAATTCTTGAAAAAGTACACATTACCACAACTACTCCAATATGAAATAGTTTAGATAGCCATACAACTATTAAGGAAATTCAATTCATAATTAAAAACCTCAAGAAAAAGACATCTCCATGTCCAAATAGTTTCACTGGGAGATTCTACCAAATGTTTAAAGAAGAGTTAACACCAATTCTACACAATCTGCTCCATATTGGCTATGAAGTCAGTATCACCCAGACACCATACCAGAGAAAGACAATGCAAAAAAAGGAAACTACAGATCAATACCCCTTATGAATAAAGATGCAAAAATTCTTTAAAATATTAGCAAACAGAATGCAGAAATATACGCAAAGAATTATACACCACAACCAAGTGGGGTTTAGTTCAGGGTTGCATGGCTGGTTCAGTATTTGAATATTTAATGTTATCAAAATATTAATAGGCTAAAGAAGAAAAATCACATGAACATATCCACTGATACAGGAAAGGATCTGACAAAATTAAACAACCATTCATGATAAAAACTCTCAGAAAACTAGGAATACAAGGGAATTTCCTCAACTTGATACAAAAATACCTACAGCTAACATCATACTTATTGGTAAAAAGATTTACTGTTTCCCCCTAAGGTTGGGAAGAAAAGATATCCACTCTCATCACTGCTAGTCAACATAGTACTGGAAGTTCTACCCAACACAATAAGGCAAGAAAGGAAATGAAAGACATACACCATCAGGAAGAAAAGAAATAAAACTCTATTTGCAGATGACATGATGGTTTACATAGAAAATCCACAGAATCTCTGAAAAAACATTTCCTAGAACACATACGTGAATTCAGCAAGGTCATAGGATATAAGATCAACAAATAAAAAAAATCAATTGTATTTTTATACACTACCAGTGAACACCTGGAAACTGAAATTAAAAACACAATACCATTTAAAATCTCTCTCAAAAAAAAAAAACGGCATCCGTAGGTATAAATCTAACAAAGCATGTATAGAACTTGCATGCTGAAAAATACAAAAAGGTTGATAAAAAAATCAAATATCTAAATAGATGGAAAGATATACTGTATTCATGCATTGGAAGACTCAACACAGTAAAGATGTCAATTTTCTCCAAATTTATACATAGGTTTAATACAATTTCTAACAACATCCCAGCGAGATTTTTTTGTAGATATTGGCAAGATTATTCCAAAATGTATACGGACAGGCAAAGGAACTAAAATAATTGAAAGAATTCTGAAAAAGAAGGATAAAAGTAGGAGAAATCACTCCAACTGATTTAAAACTTGTTTTATAGTTACAGTAATTAAGACTATGTGGTATTGGCACAAGCAACACCACACAGAGCAATAAAAAGGAATATAGAATCAAGAAAGAGACCTAGACAAATATGACCAAAGGACCAAAAGCAATTCAGTGGAGGAAGAATAGCCTTTACAAGAAAAATGGTGCTAGAGCAAAAGGACATTCATAAGCCAAAAAAAGTATGAACCTCCACCTAAAGCTCACAAATTACACAAAAAGTAACTCAAAATGGATGATGGATTTAAATGTGAAACTAAAACTTTTAGAACATAACATAGGAGAAAATCTTCAGAACTTAGGGGTTGGTGAACAGTTCTTAGGCATGACACCAAATGCACGATCCATACAAGAAAAAGATAGACGGGACTACATCGAATTAAAATTTTTGCTCTGTGAAAGTCCCTGGGAACGGGATAAACAGACAAGCTACAGACTGGGAGAAAATACTGGAAAACCACATAGCCAACAAAGCACTAGTATACAGAATATATAAACAAACCTCAAAACTCACCAGTACAAAAACAATTCAGATAGAAAGTGACAAAAGACATGAAGAGAAATTTAACCAAAGAGGGTAGGTTGTAATGAGGTGCCACTGTGTCAGTTTCAACTCATAGCAACCCTATGTACAGCAGAACAGAACACTGCCTGGCCCTGCATCATTGCTCTGCTTGAGCCCACTGTTGGAGCCACTGTGTCAACCCATTTCATTGAGGGTCTTCCTCTCTTTTGCTGACCTTCTACTTTTAACAATCATGAAGTCCTTCTCCAGGGACTCCTCCCTTCTGATAACATGTCCAAAATCCATGAGATGAAGTCTCACCATCCTTGCTTCTAAGGAGCATTCTGGCTATAATGCTTCCAAGACAGATTTGTTTGTTCTTCTGGCAGTCCATGGTATATTCAATATTCTTCACCAACACCATAATTCAAAGGCATCAATTCTTCTTGTGTCTTTCTGATTCACTGTCCAGCTTTCGCATGCATATGAGGCAACTGAAAATACCACGGCTTGGGTCAGGCCCACCTTAGCCCTCAAAGTGGTATCTTTGCTTTTAAACACTTTAAAGAGGTCTTTTGCAGCAGATTTGCCCAATGCAATACATTATTTGATTTCCTGACTGCTGCTTCCATGGGCATTGATTGTGATCCAAGTAAAATGAAAATCCTTGACAACTTCAATATTTTCTCTGTCCAACATGACGTTGCTTATTGGTCCAGTTGTGAGGATTTTTGTTTTCTTTATGTTGAGGTGTAATCCATACTGAAGGCTGTAGTCTCTGATCTTCATCAGTAAGCGCTTCAACTTCTCTTCGCTTTCAGGAAGCAAGGTTGTGTCATCTGCATATCGCAGGTTGTTAAGGAGCCTCCTCTAATCCTGATGCCACATTCTTCTTCATACAGTCCAGCTTCTCGGATAATTTGCTCAGCATACAGACTGAGGAAGTATGGTGAAAGGATACAACCCTGATGCACACTTTTCCTGACTAAATGACACAGTATCCCCTTGTTCTGTTCAAACCACTGCCTCTAGGTCTCTGCCTCATGAGCACAATTAAGTGTACTGGAATTCTCATTCTTCACAATGTTATCCATAATTTGTTATGATCCACACAGTCTAATGCCTTTGCATAGCAATAAAACACAGGTAAACATCTTTCTAGCGTTCTCTGCTTTCAGCCAGGATCCATCTGACATCAGCAATGATATCCTTCAACCTATTCTGAATCTGGCTTGAATTTCTGGCAGTTCCTGTTGATATACTGCTGCAACCGCTTTTGAATGATCTTCAGCAAAATTTTACTTGCATGTGGTATTAATGATATTGTTTGATAATTTCTACATTCTGTCGGATAACCTTTCTTTGTAATGGGTACAAATATGGATCTATTTCAGTCAGTTGGCCAGGTAGCTATTTTCCAAATTTCTTGGCACAAATGAGTGAGCACCACCAGCGCTGCACTTACTAATGAAAACATCTCAATTAGTATTCCGTCAATTCCTGAAGCCTTGTTTTTCGCCAATGCATTCAGTGTAGCTTGCACTTCTTTCAGTATCATCGGTTCTTAATCATATGCTGTCTCCTGAAATGGCTGAATGTCGGCCAATTCATTTCAGTACAGTGACTCTGTATAGTCCTTCCGTCTTCTTTTGATGTTTCCTGCGTTGATTAGTATTTTCCCTGTAGAATCCTTCAACATTGCAACTCAAAGCTTGTATCTTTTCTTCAGTTCTTTCAGTTTGACAAATGCTGGCTGTGTTATTCCCTTTTGGTTTTCTAATTCCAGGTCTTTGCACATTTCATTATAATACGTTACTTTGTCTTCTCCAGCCACCCTTTGAAATCCTCTGTTCAGCTCTTTTACTTCATATGATTTCTTCCATTCTCTTTAGTTCAAGAGCTAGTTTCAGGGTCTCTTCTGACAACCATTTTGGTCTATTCCTTCTTTCCCATCTTTTGAATGACCTCTTGCTTTCTTCGTGAATGATGTCCTTGATGTCATTCCACAACTCTTCCCATCTTTGGTCATTAGTGTTCAATGTGTCAAATCTATTCCTGAGATGGTCACTAAATTCAGGCGAGATATACTCAAGGTCGTATTTTGGCTCTCATGGACTTGTTTTAAGTTTTCTTTAGCTTGAACTTCAACGTGCATATGAGCAACTGACGGTCTGTTCCACAGTCGGCCCCTGGTCTTCTTCTGACTGATGATATGGAGCTTTTCCACTGTGTCTTTCCACAGATGCAGTCAATCTGATTCTTGTGTATTCCATCTAGCAAGGTCCATGTGTACAGTCACCATTTATGTTGCTGGAAAAAGGAATCTGCAATGAAGAGGTCGCTGATCTTACAAAATTCTATCATGCGATCTCCGGCATTGTTTCTATCACCAAGGCCTTATTTCCAAACTAGCAATCCTTCTTGTTTCCAACTTTCACATTCCAGTCACCAGTAATTATCAATGCATCTTAACTGCATGTATGATCAATTTCAGACTGCAGAAGTTGGTAAGAATTTTCAATTTCCTCATCTTTGGCATTAGTGGTTGGTGCATAAATTTGAATAATAGTCGTATTAACTGGTCTTCCTTGTAGGGGTAGGGATATTATCCTATCACTTGACAGCACTGTACTTCAGAATAGATCTTGTAATGTTCTTTTTGACAAATAAATGTGATGTCATTCCTCTTCAATTTGTCATTTCCAGCATAGTAGACCATACAATTGTCTGATTCAAAATAGCCAATACCAGTCCATTTCAGCTCACTAATGCCAAGGATATCGATTCTTATGTGTTCCATTTAATTTCTGACAACTTCCAAAGAGGATATAGGGATAGCAAATAAGCACATGAAAAGATGTTCAACATCATCAGCTTCTGAGGAAATGCAAATTAAAGCCACAACAAGATATCATTACACACCTATCAAAACAGCTCAAATAAAAAATAGTGACCACATCCAGTCACATATCTTGGGAAAATAAACATTTATGCACACAGCTGTTCATCACTATGATATTTATAAATACCATAAAACTCCCTAAAAACCCTGAATGTCTTCTCATTTGGAACACATGACAATGTGAAAATCTCTATGATGGGATATTACATAATCATTCAAAATTATGTTTTTAAACAGTTTTTAATGGCATTGAAAAACTACCTGATGTACTGCAAAGGAAGGTGGGGCAGGAGGAGAGAACAGGATATAAAACCAGGAATGATTCCAGCTGCGCCCTGCTGAAAGTTCCTTCCTGGTCAGTTTCTTCTGGGAGGCAAGGAAAGATGAGTAACGGCAGTAGTCTACTTCTAGGAGATTTCCTACAAAATACCGTAATTAGCTTGAAGAAAGAGAGGGACTAATTTTAGAGTATGCTTGATATAGAATATTTTTAGGTTCAGTTTATATTTGATGTAGAATTTGTAACTAATTAAAGCTCTATGGGTCTGGCCATAAGAATGATTTGATACCTAAGGATTACTAACACTTAGATGACTGTACTTGAGACCAGAAGGAAATTCACTCACGTCAATACTAGTTATACGTGCAGAGAAATTGGGTTTTCTTCTTTATCCTGGCCACATATGTCAGAATGTTTCCTATGTATGGATTACTTTTACATTCATTAATTAAAAAAAAAGAAGAAGAACTTAAGTTCTCCATAGCTTATTTACACTAAAAGTAAGAAATACTAGAAATAACATAAGGCACGGACGCACAAATACGCACACACACGCACTATCATCTTCCTATGTCCAAATCCTACTCAATCTTTGAGGCACAGGTCAAATGACTGACTTGGTTACACATGGGAAAATAAACCTTTCATTTCCTCAATTTCCATAACAGTCTATAAAACTCTATGCACCGTGATTGACAGCCCACCTGCTAGCCAGAAAGTTGGCAGTTTGAATCCACCAGCCGCTCCTTGGAAACCTTATGGGGCAGTTCTACTCTGTCCTATAGGGTCACTATGAGCCACAATTGACTCAGTGGCAATGGGTTTGGTTTTCGTTAATGCACCTAACACTTACCACTACTTCCCAATATCGATTATGCATACATACATCTTAGTCTAGAGAAAATAAATTCCTTGAATGGAGGATTAATACCTGACTCAGTTTTCTATCTTCAGAGCATCTGGCTCACAATAGGGACTCAAATGGAAGGAAATGGAAACAAATTCCTGATAAGGACAGCAAACAAGGACACTCACAAGTCAATGGCAACACTGAGACCTGCCTGGGTCAAGAAAGGGGCCTAAAGAAGTCAGGACAGAAATGGCTCTTACGTAGGACATGCCTCGCCAGGACATTCAGATTATTCTTCCACGTGAAATTAACAATGACATTTTCAAAAACAGGTATTGCTGATTTTGAACTCTATATGAAGTTTTTTCAAGTAAAGAAGAATGCTTATTGCTAGCATTTTAACAAGAAGGCTCCTTCAGTAAAAGTTGCATTAGACTTATATTTGAAAAAAAATTTAAAAAAAGACCATTCCAGTCATTGCAGAAAAACCTCCAAATATTATATGTAACATAGCTGTTGTATTAGGTATTTGATTATAACATTCGTGGAGACATTCACTTTCACTTACTATTCAGTTTTTATATATTTTTAAGATGTAAAATAGGTTTGGAACCCCAACTTGTAACACTGAACTTACAAAAATAAGGAATCAAATGACAGCAGCTCAACATATGAGCCAAAAATCAACATGCTCAGAGGCATGGAGTCGCTTGCATAGCAAATCCAAGTAGCTTTCCCTGGCTTTTCACCTTAAATACCAAGCAGTTCCTAGAAGCGGAATCTATTCTTACATGATTGTACATGAAGCAGCAACTGAACAAGAACTGGTTTAAAAAATTCATGCTTAGTTACTCACAATACAACATTTGATAACATTGAAAATAATCACTTTTACTCCTATCCATCCAATACATCATACAGTTCATTATGTAAATGGGAGAAATTATTTGCAAGCCTACATACAGAAATACTGGATTTCATTTAAGAATACATCTTTCATATCATTATACTAGTTTGTCAAAAACTTGAACAAGGGAGATGGATTTAAGGTCTACTCGGAGTCCTAAAACTATCAAACAATTGAAGTATGAGGAAAGCAGCCCTAATAAAGAAAATATGACTACTCTCTAGAGAAAATGTATCAGATGGCCAATTACAAATGACATTGTAAATGGTACGTGGGAGGCAGGGGGAATAATACCCTTGCCTGGACATGGACAATTTTTTATTCTTACTCTTGACTGGCTTTCACTGATTCAAACATTCAGTGAGCATCTAGCAGAGATAAAAAATAAACAAGATTGTATCTATCCTCAAGAGGTTCACAATCCTTTAAAATGTGACTGGAAAGTCACTGGAGCACTCGGTCCCTCCTTCTGTCTCAACGTATCCAGTGCCGCTCGTCCCCATTCCACAAGTGGGGCTCAAATGCAGTGAGAAAGCATCACAGTACATTTAAATGACGAAGGCAGACATGGATTTTTTTTTTTTTTTAGTGAGCAAAACTATGTAGTGTGATGCTTTTTTTTACTATGTAAATGGAGAAGCTTGTCATTTCAGACATGCCCACCATTTAATTACCACTTGAGACAGGCATTCATTCTAGGTACACCTAAGACACTCTGTCAAGTCTATCAGAGAAATGGATTCAGGCCCCAGGATTCATTATCCCCACAAGATCAAGCCACAGGAAGGAGAGGCAGGGCATGTTTCCTACCTGCACTGCAGTCTTCTCTAAGATAAATCTCTGGACAAAACCTGTATCTAACTACTTCCTGACAGTGAAAGACATAACTGCTTCCGAAGACTACTTCAGGAAGCAGCACCTAATACTTCCTTGAATTACACTGTTTCCAACAGATCAAGAGTATTTCTCAGTCACTAAGTTCCAAATCTTAAAATTTTCGTCAAAAAAATGAATTATATGCTAGAAACAAAAAGATTTAAAACCAAATCACCAATATCTGTACTACAACATGGAAACAATTATGTATAATGCTACTGAGTTTTAATACATACATAGTTCATTGTGTAAAAATGTAATCACAAAATGTATTGGGCCCAGAAGTAATTTTTCAAAAATGAAAATGAAAGAAAGGGCGTGACATACTGAAACAATGTCAACTATAACACTGTAATAAAAAATGATCCCTTGACATTCACAATGCTTCTATTACGAATTTTAGTATCAATTTCCTAATCACGGAAGTTAAAGAAATAAATTACATAACTAAAATTTAGAAGTTGAGAAGTATAAACATTTTAATGAATATTTTTTAATGTAGTCATAGTTTAACTCAATGTATTAAAACACAGATGATATTTCACCACAAAGGATCAGCACTAATATCAGCTTACAATTTTAAAACAGCACAGCTGTACAACCTACAGTAATAAGTGAATAACTGGTTAGTCAAGAAATCAAGAGACCTGGACTAACTCACTGTTAGTGAGAGACTCCTGCTAACTCACTGGGATACCTGCAGCGGTTAATGTGGCCATGCTAAAGATTCGACTTTAGGGGAGGTCAGCACAACTGGACTAAACCAAAGCTAAGAAGTTTCCTGAATACAACCAAACACTTTGAGGGACAGAATAGCAGGGTCAGGAGTCTGGGGTCCATGCTTTCAGGGGACATCGAGGTCAACTGGCATAACAAAGCTCATTAAGAAAATGTTCTGCATCCTACTTTGGCGAGTGGCATCTGGGGTCTTAAAAGCTTGCAAGTGGCCATCTAAGATGCAGCAATTGGTCCCAATCACCTGGAGTAAAGGAGAATGAAGAACACCAAAGACACAAGGAAAGCGCTAGCCCAAGAGACAGAAAGGGCCACATAAACCAGAGACTTCATCAGCCTGAGACCAGAAGAACTAGTTGGTGCCCGGCTACCACCAATGACCACCCTGACAGGGAACACAACAGAGTCCCTGATGGAGCAGGAGAAAGGTGGGGTGTAGAACTCAAATTAATGTAAAAAGACCAGACTTAATGGTCTGACGGAGATGAGACTGGAGGAACCCCGGAAAGCATGGCCCCTGGATTCTCTATCAGCCCAGAACGAAAACAATATCCGAGGCCAACTCTTCAGACAGGGATTGGACTGGACTGTGGGACATAAAATGATACTCGTGAGGAGTGTGCTTCTTAGCTTAAGTAGATACATGAGACTAAATGGGTAGCTTCTGTCTGGAGGTGAGACGAGAAGGCAGAGAGGGTTAGGGGCTGGCTGAATGGACGTGGGAAATCAGGGTTGGAAAGGAAGAGTGTGCTGTCACAGTATGGGGAGAGCAGTTAGGGTCACATAACAGTGTATGTATAAATTTTTGTATAAGAGACTAACTTGAAATGTAAACTTTCACTTAAACCACAATAATAAACAAACAAACAAAAAAGAGACAACTGAAATAGAGGGTCTATATTCTTCTGATAAGCATACATTTCATTCGAGATTCAATAGGCTATGACACCACATTACCCCATTACTATCTACTGCATATCCCCACTGTATATGATTTAAACTTTATTTTCTATAGTTTCTTATGGACAGTGTTTTACATAAACTAAAATGATAAATGTTCTCAAACGACATGCGTCTTCCTCAGAAATTATGACGTATACCCCATTTGAGAACCATTGCTACTAGCCAAAATGTGATGAAGCAAATCACTATTCGAATTCTGAATGCACTAGCAGTGTTTCATGTCTTCCCTTCTAATTTAAACAAATAAATGTTTCAGTTTTACTGATTTATAAGTTTTTCTTTGAAGACAATAATATTTTACAGGGTATTTTGGAGAACTGCCATCTCAAGAACTCTTATATTGCAGCGGTGATGCTGAAGAAAAATGGGCAGTTGTTTTAAGCTACTTTAACAATATGCCATAGCCCTTAATGTTTCTGCTAAATGTGAGATTAAAGAAAACAAATAAAGCGTAAAATAGGTAGAAAGTATAAATTTCTGTAAATATTCTTGTGGTAGTAGGGAAGAATCAATATTTAGACATTTTCTAAGACAACAGAAATCGTCTAAATTAAAATTTTTTTTAAGTTACCAAGCTGCAGTATTAAAGAGAGTTGGAAGCACTGAAAAAAGTGTGCACTTAGTAATGAAGTGATCAGATATTAAATGGCCATTCATGAAAAGTAACTGCTGCAAATTGTTGTTCCAAGTAACTATCACTTCTCAAAGGAGAGCTAAATCACTGCGTCTGCAAAACACTTCCTAGCAGAAGCTCCACAGAGTTAAGAAAACTAACCCTATTAACATACCAAATCAGTTCTTTTTAGAAAAGTCTTAATTTTCAGAAACACAAAAATTAGATTTATTTTTATATACCATACACATGTGATTGTGCCCTACTTTCAAAGAAAACTTTACATCCATTTTTCTCACCTAATTCTTCCCAAAAATTCCTTTGCGTGGCACAGTGAAAATTACTGGAAATTTATTGCTTATTTCTTTAAATGTGGAGCCCCAGGTGGCGCAGTGGTTAAGAGCTTGGCTGCTAACCAAAAGGTTGGTAGTTCGAATCCACCAGCAGCTCTTTAAATGTACCTTTTTTTAACATAATTAAACTTAACATTAAATTTAACATAATTTGACTAATGTCACAGGATTATCAAGTGACAAAGGCAAGAATAAAATCTAGGTTTCCTATTACTACAGAGAGCTAGTAACATCAGTGATAAAAATCTGAGTTTAAGAAAAAGCATGAGGAAAGATACTGCCGGACCAAAATCTAACTACCTTTTGTTTATATAATAAATTACAGCAAGTAAGCACCCACAGGGTGCTCTCTTGTGACCCTTAATTATTCCAAATAAGTAAATAAAAAAGAACTCTGGGGAAAGTGACTGTCAAAAAGCCCTAGAACAAGTTTATGCGTTCATTCACAGGGAAATCTTTCCAGCCCACACTGAGAACGTCTTTATTCTGGTCACCTCATTTCTCACAGTCTTAACAAATGAAAACCTGCAGTGAGAGTTGAGAAAGCTGATGCCACAGGGAGATACAAGTTAGCAATATGGAGTCATGTCATCGGGAGCAGTGGGAGTTTGACTAACACTGAAGAAGCAATAAACTGTAGCATCCCCCAAGGGCATCAAAGTAAAGCGATTATTATATTGATGATACCAAGCTATCAAGAAAATTAAATTGTATTCACTGAAATCTGTTTACAAGGATGAAAAAAGTATGTCACACACTAAGGGAAAGTGTTCAATCAAAATTATCTTGAATTATTCCTGGTACTCAGTAATAAATCTCAGTTATCTGGAAAATTCTCTCATGTTAGATACATGGGCACCGAAGTATTAGATATATATTTTATTAGCCTATTTCACCCAGAATCCTGGAAATATTTTATTTAAACATTTAGACATTAATTAAATGTTTATTTAAAATGTTATCAAAAAAAAGGAGCTATAAATTAGAGTTCACTAAGACTGCCACTAAATATTCTGGTTCCCAGATACGAACCTACAGCAGCATGAAACTGAGATAAAGCATCAGCTAGCTGCCCAGCTGCAAGTAATTTCTTGCCCAATTCAAGATGTTTCTCCACATCTGCATTTACTCCACATTCAGCGCCTAAAAACAAACAGAAAAAGCAGTTAACTTTGCACAAACCAAAATTCAATTCTCAAAATAAAAAGGTAAAATATAGTTATTTGGCTCAGCCATCTACTCAGATGAGAAAAGTCACAGAAGCTGAAAAATAACTTAGAGAAAGTAACAATAATGCACAAACAGCAATTTATTTTACACAGTATAATCAGCTCAGAAATATATCCAGACAGACCTAACTAGTCAAAACAATGTCGCTAATCTACAAAATAAGAGAGTATTACACAACACAGTAGTAGTGAAAATACTGAACAAAATTAGAATTACTTTGTTAAACTAGAATTTCACTTTCATGAATATTATACATTTCACTACAATGACTACAATAGTTTTGCATATTATCTGTTTGCTTGTTGAATACATGTGTTTATTTGTATACACTAACCATCTACTTCTCTCATTCCCATTTTTATTTTACATAGAAGATGTTGGATGTTAACTTTACAATTTAGTCTTTACATAACTGAATACTGAGTGGGACAGTGATGGAATATGAGTAGTAATTAATATCGTCAGCG